CTCCATAAAAATGTTCAAACAGCACAGATACAAACCAGGTCACTTTTTAACTTTTCCAGCTAGAATACACATGGGGGTGGCAGGTGGAGGGAATGGCATGAAGTAAGGCACTTTATCTTGTTTCATGTGGGTAGCAAATTGCCCGAGCAAATGTATTAAATCACCCCTACTTCGGCCACTAACTTTAAACGTATTATTCACCACTTACACGTAGCACGGGCCTCTGTGTCCCACCTACGTATACCCGCCCGTTTTTTTTTTTTTTTTTTGACTCAAATGATACCACGCTATCTAAAAAAATCGAATTCCTGGGTTAATGGGTATTTTTATTTTGCTAGGTATTCCAAATTGCCCTGCAATCCTTAGTTATTTTCTTGTCTTTTTTTTTTTAAATTAATGTCTTGAATACTTTTGTTAATCCACTCTTTTAGGTGAACTGGAGTATGAGCTTATAAAGTTCTTTTTAAAGAGTAGCATTGTATTGAATTTCTAGATTCGTTTGGTGGGGAAATATTTTTACAATGTTGAGTCCACCCATCCAAGAACACCTGACTGCCTCTTCCTGTCTTTGTGTTTTGGTGACATGCTCAAGTCTTGTGGAAAATTTTAAGACACTTACAGGTGGCAAGTATACTATGACTTTATAGGGCTTAAACATTTATTGATGGAATAATAGTTTTAAGCTGAACTATCTCTACTTTTGCAATAATACTGTTTGTACATACTTATACATAAATTCCTAAAAACCCTGTTTCTCCCATCAGAAATTACAGTCTACTTTATTACGTATTTTCTGGGGACAGAAATCTGAGGAACGTGAGGCTTATCCCTGTTAATGAAAGTGTACCTTAAATACACAGTCCTGATGAGCCTATTAGTTAAATCGGCATGTGTTTCGACTTATTATGTTGGTTCATCATAGAAACTGACCTTGACATTTCATCTTTTAAGTTTTGACTTCTTTCTTACAGGATATTAATGCCCATGCCTGTGTTACCGGTAAGCCCATCAGTCAGGGTGGAATCCACGGACGGATCTCTGCTACAGGTCGGGGAGTTTTCCATGGGATAGAAAACTTCATCAATGAAGCTTCTTACATGAGTATTTTAGGAATGACACCAGGGTTTGGAGATAAGTCATTTGTTGTTCAGGTAAAAATGTTTGCTTTCTGAAAGAATAACTGATATACACATAGAAAGTTTTTCAGTGTTTTTAGATTTGCGGTTTTTAAAATTTGATTCCTTTGAATCTCCTAAGTTTTAGAATGGATGTTTGAAAAGTATTAATACATCCTTTGTCTTTTGTACCTTGGTGTGATTCATGTGACTAAACCAAGTATCAGTCAGATAGACGTGAAACTCACCAGCTTCTTTTATTCAGTATTTAAATTGAAATTATATCCAGAATAGGACAGGTCTTATTAATGTGTATATAGAAGGGTTTGCACAATGACCCAAATTTCAACTTTCAGGAAGAATTTACTTGGTATTTAATTAATTTACTTAGGGGAATCTTAAATTAAGGTGAATGCTACTTTAAAATAAAACTCACTCCTCCCCATTAGTGACTTACCTTTTCATGACCATGGGACATCTGTTGGGTCATCAGGGACTGAGGTAATGTGGTTGACACCACTGCCATTTCTATGTAAGTCAGCAAGGCTGCATCTAACTGAACTTCTTCAGGACTCGTTATTACAGATTACAAAGGATTGGTTTCCACATTCTTAAACATAGAAATTTATTGCTGAAGAGAGACCATTGTTTCTTTTGCCAAAAGGATTTTGAGAATTACTTCTAAACTAAAAGAATGTGTATTGGCCAGAATATGACTGTTAACCGTCTGCTGGGACTTCGGTTTTTGTTTCACACATAATTGTTCTTCACAGGGATTTGGTAACGTGGGCTTGCACTCTATGAGATATTTACATCGTTTCGGTGCTAAATGCGTTGGTGTTGGTGAATCTGATGGGAGCATATATAATCCAGATGGTATTGACCCAAAAGAACTAGAAGACTTCAAATTGGTATGTTCATCTAATATCTGAATGGTTTGACCACCTGAATATTGTAAAGTTGAAATAAGTCTTAGTTGAAGTCTATTTCCTTTGCTTATTTTTTTAAATGTAACTCAAAGAGCTCTTAATAAATGAGTCTTCATATCATAGGTACTAAACGTAAACATTTAAACTCTGGTGCAGTCACTAATTCTGATTTTCAATCAATTATAGCAACATGGAACAATCCTGGGCTTCCCCAAGGCAAAGATCTATGAAGGGAGCATCTTGGAGGCCGACTGTGACATATTGATCCCTGCTGCCAGCGAGAAGCAGCTGACCAAGTCCAATGCACCCAAAGTCAAAGCCAAGGTGAGAGCCTGATGGGTTCAGCCTTACCAATGTGGAATGTCGTTGAGGGTCATAGGAAAGCTCTAATTGAGTTTCTTCTTTCTTTCTTTTTTTTAACAGCTTTATTGGGATGTAATTCACATACCATGTAATTCCCCAAGGGTACAATTTACAGCGGGATGATTGTTCTTTCCCACAGCCCCCTTGCCATATACTCACATCTCTTGAGCTCAGTTTGAGGGGATTTGATGGTGTTACTGGCATTTCTCTATGTTCCTGACTCTTGCAGATCATTGCTGAAGGTGCCAACGGACCGACAACTCCAGAAGCTGATAAAATTTTCCTGGAGAGGAACATTATGGTTATTCCAGTAAGTCATCTGTGTTTGCCAAGTTTTGTATGTGCTTGGAATCATAATTATCTTTTGCAAAGAACTGAGGGGAGAGAGGATTGTTAGTTTCCCAAGCCTTAGTGAAGTTTTTAATTTTGCTTTTAAGAAAATATAAGTAGAAGCGGGGCTATATATAATAAGCCTGTCAATTCACTTGGACCTGGCTGTTTTCTTCCAGTTTCAGGCTCTTGGGTATATATTTACCCTTCTTAAAACCCCAATCATATAAATGTATAATGTGCTAGAAATACTACTCAAACTCTTGTTTTCTGTGATTCCTAAACTTATGCATTTGGAATGTCTTTTTCTGCTTTACTCAGAAAGCTAACATGAGTAGCGTGTGCTTAGGCTCAGTGGATAAGCATGGGGTCTATACCAAAAGGTCACTGGAAATTGGAAGTTAGTGTGGAATTGGGATGCATTGTGAAGAAGCCCTTTTGCCGAAAACACTTAAGAAATTCAATTTAACTGAAATAGGCTGACTGCCCTTACTTAGTGGGAAAGGGAATGCTAATCTTCCGGTGAGATACCCTTGGACAATCCAATCCAGTGGGTAGTGGGCAAGCAATTTTTTCTGAGAACCCTTTTGGTGGAGAAAAGGCTGTAACCAAAGTTGATCGAGTACTTGCTGATTAATAAAACAAAAAACCCCCTTTTTTTTCTAATTGAGAAAACCTCAGATGGATTGGAAAGGTGACTTGTTAAATTTCAATGTAAAATTTCCGATTCTAAGATATATTTCAGAAGCTTAAAGCTTGGTCTTCTATGATATTAAAACTGAACTCTTATGTTCATTGTAAGCTTTTATTAAAACTATCATCTCCTCATTTCTTTGGTGTCTTCCTGTCACATGTTTGTGGATAGGATCTCTACTTAAATGCTGGAGGAGTGACAGTGTCGTACTTTGAGTGGCTGAAGAATCTGAATCATGTCAGCTATGGCCGTTTGACCTTCAAATATGAAAGGGATTCTAACTACCACTTGCTCAGTAAGTTCTGATTATCTTGTTCTCTAGAAATCTTTTGGGTCATCTAAAAGGTTGGGGAAAGCTTACATTTACTAAGAGGACAAATTTTCTTTTTGTAATCAGGTAACTTAATCTCAGAACAGAAAAGTGTATTGCTCTGTCTCATGAGCCTTAGACCAAAATTACACAATTTGTTTGTTAGATATTAAGTATATTAAGTCTCGAACATATTTCCGTTCAGATGTTTATTCTGTGATGTAATGTTCCCGGAACACAGAATAAATTAGTACTATAAAGAGGATCGTTTTAAACCAGGACTTCCTGTTGATACTCATCCGTTTCTATCTCAAGTTGCTCCTAGTCAAGGCCTATTTAGTGTCAAGAATTTTTTTGAGTCCTTGATGAGAATACCTTTTTTCATTGACTAGATTAGGTTCTCCCAAGTTAACATCAGAATTTTCATCAAGCTGAAATAAGACCAAGCCCTCCAGCTGGGCTTTGCTGAGCCCACTGAGAATCTGGGTGAAGCGTTCCCACTACTTCCGTTCCTTTTTCCCTTGGCATTTTCTTTTTAAAAGAGCCAAGGCAAAACCTTGGTGATGGGTGTTATGGAAACAGAGCAGTGACCTAAATTCACATTTATATAGGAATTTGGCAAAGTGCTTTATTCCTTTTTAACTGAGTTTTAAATGGTTAACCCTTTTATGTCATTCATGTTAAAACTGATAGTCTTTGGTTGTGGAGATAGTTTGGGACGACTTTGGGTTCTACTTTTTTTTTCGACTAGCAATATTTTCTCTTCATCTCTTGGCTTTTTATAGTGTCTGTTCAAGAGAGTTTGGAAAGAAAATTCGGAAAGCACGGTGGAACTATTCCCATTGTACCCACAGCAGAGTTCCAAGACAGGATATCGGTGAGTGTGCAGACAGACACCACCTGCCCTCTTTAGATTCAGGCTGAGTGGGTTCATTGGAATCAAGGGATGCTGATCCACACGACAGTCATTATATGACTCGTGTGTGCTTTGTACCTTCCTCTTTCGTTCTAAAAATGGAGTAAGATTCTTAGTTTACTAAGTGAATGGCTAATGATTCTGCTTTTGATACATTCGCCATACAGATGACTCAACAAATGATTCTAACACATTTGTGAAGATTTATTATGTATTTTAACTCTCTTAAGCTTTAGAGAAATAGAAAGAATTGAAAAGTAAACATTTGATTGAACTATATAAAAATTGAAATTGCTATGTGGACACGAATAAAAGTTAAAGAAAAATTAGAAAAGGGCGGGGTGGGGATATGGCTCAGTGGTAGAGTGTGTGCTTGGCATGCAAGAGGTCCTGGGTTCAATCCCCAGTACCTCCAAAGAAAATTAAAATAAATAGAAAAGATAATTTATGTGAATTAGGTTGACAGGTATATTAATAGTGCATACACATCACAAAGAGAATGTCTTTACCAGTAAATGGCAGAAGATATGAAAAAGAAAAGTCACAGGAAATAGGCCTTAAAAAATGTTTAACCTCGCTGTTAAAGAAATACAAATTAAAATATCTTTGTGTTAAACCAGCGGAAACAATTAATGGATCTTACGCTCACCGTGTCTGTGAAGCAGTTGTACCATTATTCTGATGACATGCAGACTGGTGCAGCTCTTTGGAAAATATGAAGAGTTATTAACTTGTTCCTGCCCTTTGACATCATAATAGCGTCCCCTCTGGGAATTTGTCCTGAGAAAACAATTCTAAAGGAGAGGACTGACTCCATGCATGATGATGTCATTGGAGCTGTCTGCAGGCTACTTTTTTAAATTGGGTTTAACATTTGTGTCCAATATGTGTGTGGTGGGTGTTGAGGAGGGGAAATGGCTGTTACATATATACGAAATATTATGAAATATTCAGTCATGGAAAGTGACTTAAAAGTATATTGCAACATGGAAAAAGGTTAAGGGTTTTGTTTTGAAGGAGAAAAGATGCTTTTGCCACTCTGGGTACTGACTATTCCCCTAAAAGAACCTTGTTCTTTTCCCAGATCCATGTGTCTCTTAGTTCTGTCCCTCTGTCTGGAATGCCCTGATCCACTCCCTGCTTAAGTATCACCGCATCTCTGTGACTTTCCCTGAAAGTCCTCTCTGCGTGCCAGCATTCCATGTACCCTTCCATGGCAAATAACTCAGAGCGCTTTGAAAGGACCTGCTACTGCTGCAGCTCTAAGATGGGCTTCTTGCTCCTCCCTGTGGCCTCCTCATGTCCCACACGTGCCTGCCACATAGCAGTCACTCAGCGGGAGTGAGGAGGACAGTCAGTCAGTTAGAAAGACAGAGCCATGATGACTTTCCTTTTAAAAAAAAATCTTTGCCCAGGGTATTCATCTCCCAATTTTCAGATACTTTCTGTGCTTCTAAAATTACACTTTAGTGCTAATTTTACACTTTCTCACTCTTTCTGACTTATTGCAAGAGTTTTGTGTTCGTGTCAGCTGAAAAACCAGGTTTGGGGGGGGTGTTTGTTTGTTTGTTTTCCTGGCTCCTTCCCTCTAGTTACCCCTCTGTAACCATGCTCTGGCCCTGCCAGGATCTACATCATTGTCCCTCATCACCCCTGTCTTCACTTGAATTCCACATACCATCATTACAGCCAGTCCCTGGTCTTGTTTTGCTTCACCACACCCCCATGTCAGCACTTGAACCCTGGTGAGCTCTGGCTCTCTGGCCGCTCCGTGACTGTCCCCCGATAGCAGAAGGCCCGGCAAATTCTAACCACTAACCTCAAGTAGGCTCTCTGCTGCCCAGCAGTTACTGCTCTCCCCATTCCATTCATTTTCTCATCCTCCTGATTTATTATATCATACTGTCTTCCTTCCCCTGCACTCCCATTCATGGCCTGGTATCTATTCATGAGAAAGCTGAAGTAGTCAGGGAACTTCCACGTCCGCCCGGCTCCTGGTCTCTGTACCCTGTCTTGTGTCTTCTCTCTTGTCATAGAGCAGCTCTTTGTGCTTCCATCTAAGCCCACGTCTTGTTCTGGGCAGCGGATGGCCGGTTTTCAGTATCTAAAATGCACTGCTTAAGCAAATCTTTCTCTCTCTGCTATATCAGTCAATTTTCCCTCTATTCAGTCATTCCTATCAATGTACCCAATGCTGTCTTAGAAATTTATTTTTTTTAAGTAAAAATATATATATAAATCTTAATCCTACTTTCCCTTCCAGGTCCTGCCATTTTTGTTTCCCTTACAGCAAACCTCTTTAAAAGTTGTATATACTCTGTCTCCAATTCTTCTTCCATGTTCAAACCTACTATTCTGCCCACCACTCCACCAGTACTCTTCTTATCAAGGTGACCAATGACATGAGCATCACCAAACCCAGTGGTCACCTTTCAGCCCTCATCTTACTTCACCCGTCAGCAGCTGTTGTCACCAGTGATTTCTCCTCCTTGAAATATTTCTTTTCTTAGCTTCCAGGGCACTACATCCTCCTGGTTTCCTTCCTGCTTCGCTAGCCATTCCTTCCTGGGAAGTCCTCAGTCTCTGAAGTGCTTCTCTGTCTGAATTCAAAATTGTATCTCACTCAGCCTCATGGTTTTTAAGTGCATGTGCTATCTCCTCTTACTAGAATATAAATTCCCTGAGAACAGAATTTTCATTATTTTGTTTTCTACTGTGTCCCCAGTGCCTAGAAGAGTGCCAGGTACTCAGTAAATGGTGAATGAATGAGTGAGTGAAAAGAAACAGCAGTTTTCCACCTGTAAAGCAGGGGTTGTTTTCTTCTTCCCAACTTGGTAGAACAAAACAAAGTTTAACTCAAATGTTTCTTAATTGATACAAATATTACAGAAATTTACCTTCTTAAGTGAATAAAGCATTAGTTGGATAAAGTTCAGGATGGATAACTTTGGTTGGTGAGCTACATTAAGTTTTTATCTGGCATATCAAGATGTGTTTGAATAGCTATATATGTCATATTGGTAGTGGTGGTGATAGTTAATTGTCTTAATTTTAGAAAGCATTCCTAAAACCAAATTAGAGGAATCCACTGAAACAAAGTGATTCATAGAAATAGTTGGCATAGGAAAGAGAGGAGCTGATTTGATGGTCAGAGGCCTTGGGTTATAGCTCGGCTCTAAAGACAGCTACCTATGACCTTGGCCAACTTCTCTGATCATCAGTTTCCTCATCAGTAGAATTAGGGGGTGATTGAAGAAAAGCTAAGGTCCGTCCCGCTTTCAGAGTTGCTGAATAGACTGGCAGGATTCTACCCACAGCTGCTGTGGGAGGTGGCTGGGTTCCGTTCTGTACATTCATCTGGGGGAGAGGGGGTGGCTGTACCATGACCCGGGCAGGGTGACGTGTGCTGTGATGCATTTCCATACCAGAGGCGTGACCAGTGCCTCATGTTTCTTAGTCCATACTTTGCTGTTTTTCCATGATCATAATTTCATGGGTATTCGTCTGCTGTCAGCTAGAACGAAAACCAAATTGTGGTTTAAACACAGCTACTTAATCTCTCACTCCCTCGTCTTCAGAGACAGCCCACATTCTGTCTATGGAGCAAGTATCTACTTTTACTTTAACCAGCACCCAACCGTCATACCTTGTGGCCTTTCTCTCGCCTTCTGAAACAGCCTACACTCTATGTTGTATGTATCTCTCTAAATAAATCTATCTTTACTCAAAAAAAAAACAAAACAAAACAGAAAACCACAACTACTTAAATAGATCTCAAGGCACTATATACAAAAATCAAGTATCTCTTTACTGAAAGACAAAGCAATTCTATCTGACTGTGTACTGACTCAAAATGTTTTGTGCTCTTATGGGTGAAGCATATCTTCATGTGGTTTATGTTAAATTCATGTTCTTTTTCCTAACAGGGCGCCTCTGAGAAAGACATCGTGCACTCTGGCTTAGCTTACACTATGGAGCGATCTGCCAGGGTGGGTATACAGGTGCTGTTTGCCCTTCTTCCTGCCAGTTACACAAAGTACAGCTCAGCTGTCATGTCAGCTGCCAGATCGTGTGTGCAGTGACAGAAAATAGCAGCCTGTTTATGTGCTCCTCGTTTATGTCTAGCAGAATGTGTGCTTTTCCAGTCTTGGGATGATGGGCATTGTTTTTAGGGTCTGGAAGATGTTTTCCAGACTTTGGGTGATAAATATTAATGCCAAGTTAGGAGCGAGTGGTGCCTGGCAGTTAGCTTAGTCAGCCAAACTGGATTTCCACTCAGGGCACCTGTCTGTTACCTTACTGTAGAATTTGGTGTAAGTGAAAGAGGTTTTGACCACTTGATCCTTATTTCAAAGCCTTAAACCCAGGTTGAATCCAGTTTTCTTAATTTCTTCTCAAGTTCAGACTTTATCCACTTGGTGTTAAGTTGAAATAGCAGGAGCAGATATCAATGGTGGTGTTTGTTGTTAACTTTTTTTATTGAGATGTAATTAACTTACCATAAATGCATGCTTTTAAAAGATAAAGTTTAGCAGCTTTTGTCCACAAGGCTGTGTAGCCATCACTGCTAGTTCCAGGACACTTTCTTCACCTCATTCTAAATTATCACGGTGTGTATCATATGAACTTGCTCTGGATGTCAGGGTGTCTGAAGGGCACAAGACAGCTCACACTTTAAATTCTAAAGAGCAACTTCTTAGTGTCGCCTAAACAGTAGTTTGTTTTAAACGCGAGAGTCAGTCCCTCCTGCCTAGAGCTTGTTCTGCCGCCTGAGTGGTTTCTCGTTGGCTCCCCACGTGCCGCCCTGAAATGGTGCCGGGTAACTTGTACCAGGCCAGGATGTGCCTTGGGTGTCCGTGGCCTGGCTGCTGGTGTCGGAATGATCTTCACTGCATTTTCTCCTTCATTTCAGCAAATCATGCGCACGGCCATGAAGTATAACCTGGGATTGGACCTGAGGACGGCTGCCTACGTCAACGCCATTGAGAAAGTCTTCAGGGTGTACAATGAAGCTGGTGTGACCTTCACATAGATGGGCCGCGACTGACTTCTTCACTGCCCTCTTCACCTCTTCATCTGCAGACCTACCACAAGTTTACATGTAACCGCAGAAATCTCTCTCTCTCTCATGACTTAGTAGATAATGGACACTATACTCAACAAGTCAATCCAAATCAGCCCCTTTAGAAGAAGAAGCTTAAGGTTAGGGGATCATGTGCAAGCCTGGTAAGTGTGCCAGTAGAAATCAGCGATCCCAGAGAGTCATTTGGGCATTCTGCCTTTAATAACAAGTCCCATCCATCTGGCTGTGCTGCCTTGCTCCATGGCCGCTCCCCAGCAGTCAGCTTTGGCCCCGAGAAGTCAGCTGCTTGCCGCTTCAGCTCTGGACAAGTCTATAAAGTGCTTTTACACATTTATACGGCATTTTCAGAAAGTGGCATGGTCCTAAAGTGAGTTACTGGTATTTTACATCAGCAAAATAACTCAATTTTACAGGTTGCAAACAAAACTAAAAGCTGTTTCTCTTTATGCATTTTATTCTTTTAGAATAAAATAAGTACATGCTGCTGTAATAAAATTGCCTTTAATCACTTAACAAGCCTAACCTTGACTCAAGCAGTGAATGCCTGTAAACATAAATGAAAAAAACTAGTATTTTTATAACATAAAACAGTATCATTTGTAGCTTATCAATCGCATATTGTCATCCAGCAAAAAATGAAAAGCCTGGTGGAGAATTAAGTTATCTTCGTACCTGCAAATGATGGAGGCTATTTTTTGTTAAGACCGTCGGAATTTACTTAACAATGATGACATATAGTCCAAAGAGTGCAGTAACCTCCTTATCATGTTAATTAATTGTTCTTCTCTCTTGAAGATCTATTGTGTTGACTAATTGAACAATAATTCAAGTAGTGTCCCAGAAAACAACCGCTTGGGCTCCCTCTGTGGAGTCTGGCTGGCGGCTCTGAGCGTTGCCAATGGCCCCCGACTGTGTCCTCTTGGAGGCCCCGTATTCTGCACATGGCTTCCTTCCCAGTGGGATGGAAACAGCCTGGGCTTGTGTTTTGTTTGGAAGTTACTTGGCCAGGGCCTTTTGAACAGTAGTGTCCCAATGAAGTACTAGATATTATTTATGTAAGAATGAGCTTTTTTTTTTTTTTAACAATATCCTTTCAGAAATTTCTAACTACTTTGTAACTGCATGACTTAACCTGGTGATAAAAGAAGTTATTAAAAGTCTACCTTTTCCAAAGCTTGCGTTTCTTTTCTGTGTTTTATATTTGATAGTATCTCTCTTAATAGATGATAAAACTACAATTGGGTTTCTGAAATTTGTAGAACAACCAACTGTATAACATTTCTTCCCACTATATTGTGAGCTGCCCAAATTTTATTCTTGAATTCTTTTGTATTTCATTCTAATAAACACTATCAGTGACTGTTCTTGAGGAAGAGGGTCTAGTGCTTAAAGCTGGAAAACTGATGTAATTTATATACCTTTTTATATATATAAGTGCCTTTTTTCTTAATGAAGGAAGGTTTTGTTGATTGCAGTTTCATTTTTTAATAATAGAGCCACAGAATGTAACATTTTAAGACAGAATACTAACCATAATCAACAGGACTAGAGTCTAGACCTGATTCCATCAGCTTACATGGCTGCCACCTCTGGGGCGTAACTTTGCAAGCATTTTGTCCTGATTCTGCCTCCCCATGGTTCTGAGCATCAGGTCCAAGAGTGACTAAACAAGCCTGTGGCACCGTGGCCATGGCAAGCCCTTCCCACACACAGCGATGTCTCCTTCCACTCTAGGAGGAGCACTAGGTGGGAGAGGTGGCGGGATAGGAAAATAAGTTCCAGAATATTTAGAACAGTACCTGGTGGTGCAGTAGATTCACGTCATGTGAAAGGGACAGTAGGTCTTAGTGGTGGCCTCTGGCTGACATATTGGGGTATTTATAGTGTTTTAAAGACATAGATGGATGGGTGTTCTTGGTTATTGGTAACAATGTTAGGAAACTGGTACTATTCATGCTCGCTATACAAAGACAACACAACAGTGTCAGCTTTGGTTCCTGGAGGCTGAGTTAGACAATTCTGGTCAGTTACTCTTGGCTTCACTGAAATGTTCTGATTTACTTATAATTCTTTTTAAAATTTTACATACAATTCTCTAAAGTTAATTGCTTCTGAAATAGCCATAAATGGCTTATGGAGCACTCAAAGAATACTTAACTCTTGCTTCATGAACCCCTACATCAGAATGTGTTCCAGTTGCCCTGATAGATGAAGTTTAGGGAAGCTTAAGTAAAAGCTTGATTTTTTTTTCTTTTTTTTAAGCTGCGCTTCTGGCAACTCACTTGCTAGAACTGATGATTTACTGTTTTCTTTAG